TTTGGATAAGAAACCCTTACCCAATCCCCTACCTAAGAACTTTAATCCTAATGTGTACTGCCTTTTTCACTAGAATCCTGGTCATCATACCAACCAATGCTTTCGTCTCAAACATAAAGTCCAAAACTTGATTGACTCTGGTACTATCCTAAATCCTAAGAGCCAAGATAATATGTTGATATGAGAAGCATCTGGGGGGCATGCTAAGCGGAAGTTATGAGAAAGAGGCTAAAATTACTTTATGATAGTCGTTTTCTGTTTTCATTTCGTTTTCCAGACAAGGTTTATGTCATTTTAGTTTTTAATTTCAAATAAATTTGTTTATCTTATTTTGAATATTGCTTCATTTATAATTTTTGCTTGACCAAATATTTAATGGAGAGAGAGAGAGAGAGAGAGAGAGAACCAAATATTTAATGCGAGAGAGAGAGACGAGAGAGAGAGGAGAGAAGAGAGAGAGGAGAGAGAGGAAAGAAAAGAAAGGACAAAGAAAAAAGAAAAAGAATGATAGAAAGCGAGAGAGAGAGAGAGAGAGAGAGAGAGAGAGAGAGAGGAAAAAGAAAAAGAAAAAGACAAAGAAAAAGAAAAAAGAATGATAAAAGAGAAAATAATTTCTAGCTAGTGGGCTCAAAATAGAATTTGATATGAAGGAAAGAGTTAGTAAAATCGGGCTACTTATGATGAGGGTAAAATAGAATAATGAGAGGTAAATCTTGAAATTAGGGCGTTACAAGGAAAATTAACTATGAAAGTGTTAGAAGTCTCATTTAAACATCGAAGGGATAAGAGTACGCTATATTTTCCTTTTACAGGGCATCTTTGAAAAAGAAAAATGAAAAAAAAAAAAAAGAAGAAAAACAAAAGATAAAAAGAAGTTAAATAAAAGAAAACATGTGATATTCTAATCTTGTCTCTGCCAATGGATGATTCTTGAAAGAAAGAGAATTTCCAATGAAGATTAATAATTTTATATCTCATCAATATGAAAGCTTATTTATTTAGATATTATTTTGTTTAAAAATGATTGGATTTGAGCTTGCTAAAGAATAAATTTCAAAGAAAAATGGAAAAATATGTGATCCTGATAAGCAAACAACCTTCGCTTAGGCAAAAGTTAGGAAAATTTGAGAGAAAATATTTGACTAGAAAACCTAAAAAGATTGATTAATAATAAGTGAATGGTCTATTCATACTAGATTGACATATTTGTGAGGAATTAAAAACTTTATGATGATGTCATCCTTGTTGTTTGTCGAAATTATAGGCAGGAAAAAAAAGTGAAAAAGAAGAAAGTATAAAGGAATTAAGAACATATTTATAAAAAGTTCATAAGACTTGGATACGAAGCTTTGATGGTGGCGCGAGCAAGCATTATTGAGGAAGAAGATGGAGAAGAAAAAGTAGGGAGAGATGAAATTAGTAATTAGGAGTTTTTGACAAAACTTGGCTAAATCAAAACAATGAATTTTGATTAAAACATTGCGTTTTGATATTGTCCAAGACCTTTTGTTAAGTTAACCCAATCTAGTTTGGTGGGACTCATTTTAATAGTTTTTTTATTCAAAACTCTAGCTAATTTTGATTTTATTTCTAAATTGGAGTGTCAGGGGATGAAGGTCATATTAGGGTGTTTTTGCAACAACCTCGGGATTTTTTGCAGATTAAGCCTTTCTTGTCTTTGCAGCATTATTTAACACTTTCACCAGTGTTTTTAAAACCAGACCGATTCAACTACGAACCAAAAATCGATTCAGTCTCGTTTGACGTGTAAAGTCGACAAGTGTAAAAACCAGGTAAAACCGATTTGAATCAAAAACCATGTTGAATCAGTCAAACCCAGTTTTTTACTTTTTTTTTTTTTTTTTTTAACCGATTTGAAATCAAAACCATGGTTAATATCAGTCAAACCAGTTTTTTTAACTTTTTTTTTTTTTTTTTTTTTGGCCTTTTTAATTTTTCTTTTTGTGTTTTCCCAAGTTGTCCCACCTAAATAATTACAATGCACATGCGTAGTGGTTATAAAGTTAATCTAAGAATTATACAAATAATTTAAATAGGTAAAAGTTTTTTCTTGAAAAACTAATAAAATCAATTAAAAATGAATATTTTTGTTTTTTTGAAAAAAACATAGATAAAACTCATGTTATGGCTTTCAATGAATGTGAAGATTAGATTTTTACAATAGTTATCATTTTAGTTAATTATAAGTTTTTAAGTTTTTTTTTTTTTTTTTTTTTGCCTTTTAATTTTCTTTTTGTTTACCCAAGTTGTCCACACCTATAATAATTACAATCACATGCGTATGTATAAAGTTATCTAAGAACTTATACAAATAATTTAAAATAGTAAAGTTTTCTTGAAAAACTATAAAATCAATTAAAAATGAATATTTTTTTTTTTGAAAAAACATAATAAACTCATTTATGGCTTCAATGAATGTAATAGATTTTTACAATAGTTATCATTTTAGTTAATTAATAAGTTTTTAAGTTTTAATAATATATCTAATAATTAATAATAGAACTAATATTAATCATATTAATATTTATGAAAAGTAAAATATTTTTATTTTTTAACTTATTTTTTCATTTATTTAGTAAAAAAACTAGTAATTCGTTTGAAAAATAAATTTAAAGGTTAAATTAATATGTCATAATTAAGTACGGAGTTTCATGCATAGTATCTTATTAAATATTAAAAAAATCTTAATATTTTAATGATTTCACTTTTTAATATTAAAATAAAATATTTTAAAAGAAAGAAAATGTTAAAAATTTAAATTAAAGATGATCGTTTATTAAAAATTAAATTAAATTTAAATTTTAGATTAAATGATATTAAAACTATTAATTTATGTATAAATATTTAACTTCAATGTAGAAATTGTTTTATAATTTATTAAAAATATTATATATATATGACAATCATTTAAAAAATAATTTTACAATTTAATTATTTTATTATTATTATTATTTTGTTATAAGATTGTGCATCAATATACTTAATTTTATTAATAATAATCATTAAAATAAAAATAAAAAATATTTATTTATTTTTTATTTTTAAAGTTTTATGAAATGTGGTATACAACTATAAGCCAATATACTATTTTAGTGAAATGTTATTTATTTTTATTTATTTTTTAACCACGTGGCTATGTGAAATGTTAAAAATGATAAAGGTTGAAGACTTCCAATTTGTTCTAATGCTGTTGTGGGCAATCTGGGAACAAAGGAACCAAGTAGTTTGGCATGGCAGGTCTAGGAGCTCAATTCAAGTCGTCTCTTATGCAAGAAGGGTGCTGAATGATTGGCTATTGGCTAAGGGGGTCAGTAAAATGGACAACGCAAATTATGTGGCAGTGTGTTGGTTGAAACCTGCTACTGGTATGGTGAAATGTAATGTGGATGCTGCAATATTTGCCAATCATAGTGTGGGTCTAGGTTTGGTGGTTCTGGGCCCAAGGACACTTTATTGGTTCTTTGCAAAAAAGGGTGAATGGAAGTTTTGACCCTTTAATAGCTGAAGCCTTGGCCATTAGGGAAGCATTAAGTTGGATTAAAAGGCATAGTTGGTCCAACGTGATTATTGAGTCAGACTCTCAAATTTGCATGCAGGCCTTGATTGACCCCCTATATGAGGATGATTCTGCATTTGGTTCTCTAGTGTTAGATTGTAAGAGTCTTATTTCTGAGATTGTAAGTGTAAGCATCTTTTTTGTTCGTCGATCTGCTAATAAGGTTGCTCATGTGTTAGCTAAAGCGTCTTATTCTGTGACAGATCAGGTTGAGGAGTTGGCTATTCCACCTTTTTGTATTGAGCAAGTTTTGAGGTTGGATGATTAATGCAATTTCCATTATTATTCAAAAAAAAAAAAAAAAAACATACTATTTTAGTATTTGAGTATTGCTAAATAATTATAAACTCAAAATAAAAAATTCTGTACGAAAGTCAAAAATCTGGTTAAACCGAGTCGACTCGAGTCGATTTGGTCGAACCACAACCCAGTAACGATGCCGATTCGGTATCCGGTCCAGTTTTAAAAACATTGACTTTCACACTCTTCTCTACCTCCTAAACCAACGAATCCACATAATTTACAATAAATTAACCGGATCAATTGAAATATTTCCAAATGATTTCAAGAAATCAAATAAGAAGAGGAAAATACATACCAAGTTGCTTCTAGCCTGCATTTTTTTCTTCTTGTTGTTGTTCTTGGATAAGAATCTCATCAAGGGTAGCTCTGGTTTTCAATCTTTGGAGTTTAAGGAGATGATGGCTGGTGGGTTTGACATTAGCATGAAGAGGAAGTACATAAAGCTTTATGGGCACTGGTGCTTGAAATGGATTTAGAGCCACAAAGAGCTCAAGGAAGATAAATAAGAAGATGATATTACTGCTTGATTCTTTGATCGCATCTCTACTGAATCTGATTGTGTACTATTAAAAAAAAAAAAAACTAAACTGTGATTTAAAAAGAAAAATAAAAATACACATAATAAGAATTGACACATCAATTCTTATTAATTAGTATCGTTCATAATTAATCATCAATAATTAATAAATCAAGCCTCAACTATTTTCATTGGCGAATTTAACAATTTTAGTTAATCAATTTTATTACTACATAAAATAAAAAGATCTTCTGAAAATTATTGGGAAAAACAATTTTAAAAATTTTTGTTTAATTATGTTGTAATTTCTAAAATGTTGTCATAATTTTGAAAAAAAAAAACATTTTGAAATTTTTAGTCATTAAAATTAAGGTTATAATATGTGACATCCACACAAATAATTTTTATAATTTCTGTTCAGCATTTTAACATCAGTATAACATCCCAAAACAATCTTATCCAATGCCAAATGAGAATCTGAAACAAGTTGTTTAACCCTTTAATCAGAAATCATCTTGTTATACATTTCTCGGGTCCGACGGGTGTGCCAAATTACCATCCAAATTGAACCGAAAACCAAACTAATCAATTGGGTACAGTCAGTTATTCGAAGAGATTCAGTTTATCATTCCATTCGGTTTAAAGCAAAGTTATTGTTCAGTTTGAGTCGATTTAATAGAGATTTATCAGTTGGGTTTAATACTAAACCGAAAAAATTGACCGAACCAACTGGTTCAGTTCAGAAGCCAATTTCAGTTTGTATTTTTTGGTCTTAGTTGGACCGAACCGACCTTTGGTCTCACCCCTTGCAGCTTGTACTCAAAACTTTGACCACTTTCATTCATGCTAAAATACGGCAGGTTAACTTATGTACATGCTCCTCTCTATTCTTGTTCTTTCTCTATTTATGCACGTCAAATTTTCCTTCATAAACTATTCAGTTTCTTTACAAAAGCAGACCTTAGTTTCTCAACTTCAGCCATAAGAACACTATTCCGATCACAAGCTTCCGCAAGTACTTCAAATCTTTTCTCGATATTGTTGTTGTAAGGATGTGGTTTGGGATACTGTACAAGATCCAACATCATTCCCTGCCAACAAGAAACAGTTACGCAGATTAATTAAAACAAAGAAGATTGTATGAGGCGGATAAGCGCTTGCTACTGCTTTAGAGAACAAATAAAAGATCACAACAAAAACATAAACTTTGGTTGAAAAAATTCTTGTATGCTGTCAGAAGCCTTGAACTAGAAATTTGTTTCATTTTATTTTCAGTAAATAAATTCCCATTTGTGTTGCTATATATGAATAATGCCCAGAATTTAGAATGACGAAACTGAACAAGCCGGCACATATTCAAATAGAGATGAAATACCCTGTTGAAATAATCATTACGTTTGAGCAAAAAAATGAATAAGAAAATTATCTTAAAGAATAAAATACTGAAAAAAGACTTGAGAGTATAGATTTACTTCTATTTTGATAATTGATAGTGTGTGTGTGTGTGTGTGTATGTGTTTGAGAGAGATAGAGGCAGAGAGAGAGAAAAATAACAATCCAAGGTGCAAGTCAGCAAGAGGGTATCTTATTCAACTTAATTTTATAGTTTAGACTGCATAAAATTCAATAGCAAATTCCACCAGTCCTTTAGAATTTGCTCCAGGTGTGGAGTTCCATAAAATTAAGATCACGGAAGCAATTCAACCGCACTCTGTTAAGGTTCCAATCATCACACGTATAGAATTGTGAATGAAACTGACGTGCATAAAGAAATTTTTGACCAACAAGAAATTTGATATTAAGCAATTAAGTTAATAGTTTGAAACTGGATCCAAGCTAAGCATATAAGCAAATTTGATTTGGCAATCCCAGTGGAATAATATGGTCAAAGACAGACAGCCATGGGAAATTAAGGTGACAGAAACCCCTACCCCCTCCCTCCCCTCTCGACACGCATAGGAAGACAAATCAATTTCCATCTAAAACAATTTGTTGTCTATACATTAGATGAACTGCTAAATACTGTTGTCAATATGAAAAAGAAGTTTAATGATACACCAGAAGACAAAAGTCTAAATATAAACTCAATTTTGAAATCAAGTCCTAAAAGTTGTTTTTTACAATCGAGCCTAACAATTTAAAAGTACTCACTGATCCCATCTGTTATGTTAACAGCATAGTATGTTAGTCAATGGCATTTGTTATATTGACAGCACAGTTTGTTAGTCAATGGCGACGCCAAAAATACTTTTTTTTTTTTTTATCACTTCAGTACTAAAAACTTAGAAGACATTTAGACTTCTTTCTTTCCTCACTCCCTTTCTTCGTCTGCAAAAAGCTTTCATATAATGCAAAAGATAAGAAATATCAACTAATAAATAACAATCAAAATATTTAGTAGGATACTGAGGTTGGAAATTGAGGAAGTGTGTCGTGCAAATATTGAGAGAATCGAGTTGTAGACATAAATGGAAATATCATGGGGAAAAATGTTTTGCCATTATTTTTAGATTTGAAAGTTCCCATCTTTTATGTTCTTTTTTCTTTTTTTTTTTTCTTTTTTTTTTTTTTTGTCCGTGCAATATATTGAGAGAATCGAGTTGTAAGACATAAATGGAAATATGCGATGTGGGAAAAATGTGTTTTGCCATTATTTTTATGATTTGAGAAGTTCCCATCTTTTAAATGTTTCTTTTTCTTTTTTTTTTTTTTTTTTTTTTTTTTTTTTTTTTTTTTTTTGGTAAGGTGCAACTTAAAGAAGAAAGACTGGAACAGAAAAGTGTAATTTTTTAAAGTTCTAGGATTGAAATGTAAAAAACAAAGAATGCTATTAGTTGACTAATATAATTTGGCATTGAGCCAATTTTAAAACTATTAGCATTTGATTGTAATAAAATAACTTGTTAGACTTAATTGTAAAACCTGATAGACTCTAAGAACTTATTGTGCATACAGACCTTAGTAATTTGCTGATATAGTAGCCCATTTATGCTGTTAAAAACCAAACAATAAATAAGAGCTGTGCAGTTGCGTACCTCGCGTTTTTGCTTCTGGGAGTAGTCTCTCAAAAGAGACTTTACAAGCTTATTTCGTAGTGATATCTTATCATGACAACCAACAAAGAAAATGAAAAATGAAAGGTGATGCAAAACAAGACTATACGCCATCGATCCTCGAACTGCAGATCTGTCAAGAGCACCTGAAACCCATGACTTCATGTATGCTTCCAAAATGGCTTCATTATCCTGCACAAAGAATAAATCACTTTATAAGTAAAAGAGGTTCTGAACATTGGAGAATGATCTGCAAAAGAACCTTTATACAAACTTTAGATTAAATGAACAGAGGGTTAAAAAAAAAAAAAAAGAGCTGCAGAGACCAGCTCAGTATAAGAAATTTTAGCTCATTATTGTAGAGATGAATGTAAACAGGACCTCCCAATTATTCTCAAGTTCCACAACTATTTGGCAACCTCCATTTAGTGTAAATGAAAAAGTATAAAATTCATTTATAAATGACAGAATTCATTTATTCAATATAAGATTGAATTCAAGGAATCAAAATGAACCCTTTTTTCCATACCATATATGAAAACACGAAATTCCAAATGAATTACACAATGTGAGAATTCATTTGTTCCGATTATGCCCAAAGTTCATTTCTAATTTCTACTACTTAACAGCTAGCTATAAACTCCAAGATAAACTAAAAAAAAAGTCTGTTCAATATGCTATAAAAGAAGGTTGGAAAAGTCAGCCAACAGTACCTCAATTGGTTCAAGGTATCCTTCCGCCTCAGCGATGCATTTGTCCAATGGTGGCAGAATTTCAAGAACACGAGCATTAGACAGTAAATTCCAGGCAGAAAGTCTCACAGCTGATTCAGTGGAACGATGTAAATATACAGCAACTTGACGGCCAAAAATAAAATCACCATATGATACAGCAGAAAACTGCTCCACAAGTGTTTCGAGAAATGTAGAGTAACTCTCTTGAATCTCTGATTGAAACTTCAGAAAGTATGGCATGTTTCTTTTCTCAGTTTCCGACAATAAATTCACATTTCCATCCAAAATGTGCACAGCACTTTTAGTATATCTAGCTTCATCAAGAAGTTGTCCATATATGTCTTGTAAGGCTTCATAAACATCCCTACTCCTGTTGTCGTCAAGAACATCCATTCCAACAAGTAATATGACAGATAATGAATGCAATTTCCAGACTAAAGGTACATAGCGAATGGGAGAGTGTACATCACTAGATAGGAAAGTGGACATGGCTTCCATAGCTAGTAGAAAGAAAAGTCCAGCTTTAGCAACTTCAACTATGTCACCGGTGTCCTGCATGGGATTTGGTATATCAGAAGCACTAAGAAGACCAGCATGTTTGTCACCAGAGATGACTGAGATAGGACTGAGAAACCAATGCATGGGTAGTGGCAATCTCTGGTGAGCCCACTCCACAGTCAAAGAAGTGCAGGAATGATCTTGATTTGTCATATTTGATGTATCCAAGTCCTCATGTATGGTGGCCAGAGAAACCCTTCCCTTTTTAAGACTTTTGTTCCCAGAAGAAATATTTTCATCTGTGGCTTTCAATTTCTTTTTGACAGACAACCATCTGTTTTTAAAGTGAGAAGCTAATATCTCACGGAGGTGCAAATAGTCCTCCTTTTTATATTCCCATCTAAATGGTTTCATCCTCAGATTGGATGGAAGAAAACGCTGCACACAGAAATCAAGATACTTGAGAACAGGTACTTGAAGCAAAATGTCTAACACATTCTCCATCACAATCCTATCCCTTGGCCCAACAATTAAGCATGCTCCCAACAAAGAATTAACTCTATGCATAGCAAAAGCCATCTCTTCATCTCTTGATAATTCTGTGATAGACACCATCTGAATAATTTCAAGCATGTAAATTAGTAATCTGGCGTCTGTTTGAGCCAACAAAACAGTCATTGACCAAAATCCTCCACCAGAGGCACCCCAGCCAACCCCCAGCCCTGGAGCAGGTCCTCCTCTACCAAAAACCTCAATGGACTGCACGGCATGCCACTCTGATCCCACGAACTTCATGAAAACATTGAGCACACATCTCCATTCAATCATAGAACTCTTCAATATTCCATCCTCAAGTATTTTCCCTTCTCTTGAGAAATTATAACCTTTGGATGGATGGCTATGGATTTCATTCATAGCCATGGTGATCAAGTTATCAATCGAAGTAATAACCCGGAGAAGTCCATGAAGGCAACACACAGAAGCTAATGATGATTCAAATTTACTATTCTGTCTCAAATGACAAAGTTCCTTAACAAATTTTCCGTCTCCTTGATCCTCTGTGCCATTGGAACTTAAAAACAGGTTTTTAATAATTTCAAGTCCTATCTTAGGAACAAACTCTGGCAACCATGGTACCTGCTTGCTACTTCCTTGGGGACTCATGGTTTTCTCTGCATTCACTCTTTCAAGCAATGTGGAAAGCATATGCATGACAGCTGAAAACACCCACAAGAATGAGCTATCTGACAAATCTTGGAAAGCAAGGCCACTCCTAATTCCATTTTCGCTCTCAAAGTGTTTAGAAACATAAGGGTCATTCCTAGATGCTATCCACTTCAAAGCCAAATCAACCATTGGAGTAACAAAACTCCAAGACCAGGTTTCTAGTTCTTCACCAGCAAAATCTGAGATTTGATTGCTTAGATGCTTTTGTGAATAGAAACTTGGAAGCCTTCTAGCCAAGGCCTCCAAAACAAGATATGCCTCCCGAGAGACACAAAAAAAATCACTAAGAACATTGTTCTCCAGAAGTTTGTTGAATGTAGGAGGATTCAACCACAAGCACAGGGCCGGAAAGATATCTGAAAAGTATGATACACAGAACCCATAATCAATGCAGGCCCTCCAAAAACGTAGTTGTTCAACCATTAAAGCAGATAAAAGTTTACAGCTTTCCTTTCCAGACTTCACCCAATGGTCAAGGGAGGAAGTGTACCGAAACAAATGCTGAATCATAGCCTGAAAAGACCCATTGTTTATGAATACCGAGCAATTGTTCCTGTCAGATTGAGCCAATACCTGTTTTACACAAAAGTAGAACACCAACATAAATTTTTCTTGGATAGAGTGCCAGAGCAGTTGACTAATGAAAAATAATAAGGAATAAATACCATTAGAAAGCAGTCTGGAAATATATGAGAAACTACCAGCTTACCTTCAAAAGTTTAACAGACTTTATCTTAATAGGATGAATTTCTGTAGCGTTAGCCATAGTGAATTTCCGAACAACTGTATCAACAAGTCCATGGCACTTCATAATTGCATTTGCACAAGTTGGGGAATGCCTTGTGATTGCGATAAGTATAGAAATTATGTATTCTTCTAAAGTTGCATTGTGGTCAGCCTGGAACCAAAGATATGAACATATATTAGAAAACTACAAATCCAACTGCAATAAGCACAATATCAGAACCCTTTCTAAGTGGAAATACGGGAACCCTTCCTTTTGGAACTAAAACATGTTTGCAATCATATCATACTTATCCAAAGTGATAAGGATGACAATATCATTTCATTCTTAGGTGAGTCATTACTGTCTCCTATAAATATCAACAAATTGAGATATCCAAGAAGCTGTTGCTTCCTCATTTTCTCCCCTAAATGATACAAAGAAAGACATGTCTAAAAAGTACATTGGAAGAACTTTTTTATAATATCTGTGCATCAATAATACCACATTCACATCCACCAAGTCCTCATGCAAATCCCCCAAAATAATTCACCTTTAACTATTTATCAAAAAATGGAAAGATGACACCAATTATATATTATTGTGATTATATATGAATCGAATTCTATAATCAAAATAAATGAACACTAAGATATCCATTTCTCCAAATTATATGTATTATGACCTCGAGTGAGTTACCCATCCCGGTGCCTACATCTTCAGAGTTTCCACACCTGATGCTCATACCATATTTTACGCGCATTCTTACGAGAGCCAACACGCCCAGAATACTACAATTATTCTTTTAATCTTTTTTCAAGTTGCAATTTTCCAAAATTATTTTGGCAATCTCATTCAAGTTTAACATCAATTGGCATGCAAGACCTGTATTGAAATGCATAAAAGGGGAGAAGTGAAGAAATTGTGCATCCAAATAAGTGTTAAGTTTTGTTTCAGATATCTCGGATGTTATTCAGGGATTATGAGAAAATCTCAAAACCCTTGCAGTTTACATGAGCAGATTTTCTTTCTTCAAGTCAATGCGATCATGCTTACCTCCAAAAGATACAGCATTCTTGGAAGGATTCCCATCCTAACCAAACCAGCAGCAAAATCTTGACTAGCAACAACAAGATCGTCCTGAATTGTATGTTCCCCTTCAGTCTCATCATCAATTACATCCTTGGTGGAAGTTAGAATGTTGGAAGGCTTTGCATTGTACTTCCAAAAGCCACCACGAAGGAAACCAACATTGGGCTCTGGTTTGCTTCTAAATACAGGGCCAGTGAAAATAACTTTCTCATAGACTGCTATTCTCTGGAAGTACAAGAAGTCAGACTAAATGCCAATTAATGCTATGATACAAGGAAAAGACTTCAGAAAAAAAAAACTTTACCTCTGAGATATCAAAGAAGTTTTCATTCAAATCACAACTCAGTGCACAATGGATAACTCTTGCACAAGCTAAAACGACAGAACTATGATTATCGTCGAGACACATCCTAAAAATCAACAGAGCATATGGTTAATTACACCTTTGATGTAAATAAAGGGAAAAAATCAGTCATGACCAAGAGGCAATGAGAATTGGCATTAGCAGTATTCAGAATTCACCTTAATGATAAAACAAGCTCAGGTTCAGGTCCAAGTGCATAAGCCCAAATAGCTTCCCAATCATTCAACTTGTCAACTAGATTAGCATTTTTTAGTGTACACCCAACTTGATTTTGTTGAATGTTGTATATTGCTTTATCAAGCACAGATGCAAGGAGATGCAATGCAAGGGCCCGTTGTCCTGGAATCTGTAACGAACAAAATGAGTACACAAGAGGACAACAAATATATAGCAAAAACAATAAACATTATGAGAGAGCTACGCTAAGACCTATTGCAAACAAAGGTAGGGTAGGTACAGAAAAAGAGGGAACAATTATTTCTTTACAACTCATGTCATCAAAAGGATCAGACAGAAGAAAAATATAGTTTATATTCTGTTTAACCAACAAAATATCCAACAACATAAATATATATCTCAATTTATGTGTAGAACCCAATCAAAATTTTATTTTACTTGATTGAAAGTAATTGAGGAACAAGGTACTATATTAACTTACTACACTTCTAGTGAGTTGAACAGCTTCTTTGATAGTGTAACCCACTGCAGCAGGGTCACCCTCAGTCCGCAGAAAGTCACGTTCAGAAACACTTACAGTACTATCCTTATTGCCGATGGATATATCACCTGAAACACAAACAAAAAAAGAGTCACATCTCTTGTCCCCCCTTGCATGACGTGATTGTGTCTAAAGTGCACAGCAAACAATAATGTTGGGTTTATAACCCACAGGACCAGGGGAGGTTATGATCAAATTAGCAGTTTAGGCTTTGTACAAAATTATTCCCCCTTTGGGCTCATCTTCACCAATGGGCTAAGCAATTTGATTGAGAACCAATTGACTTGTAAGTCTAATGCAAATAATAATAATGTGTAAGAAATTCAACAACTTTTGCTCAAGATGAAATGAGAATTTTGACAATGCTGTGAAACTTTGAAAAAAAAAAAAAAAAAGGAAACCAAATAGTCATTATCACTTGGAAGCAAACACATTTTTGCATTCTTTTACAAACAGGCAGAAATGCAAGGAAAAGAACTGTCATATTACATCCTAAAAGCCAACAAATTGCAAGATTTTTCCAAAACATACAGCAATTCAGAAAGCACATAAAGAACTGTACTTCTAAACTCTCAATAAGCACTGTTCATTTAATTTGGGCAAGTATCATAAAAGTAAAGCCATAACAACTCCTCATACCACCTTTTGCTGCATATTAGTTCCTTCAGTAATAACAAAACTAAATTGAATACAAAAGAATTACATTACTTAAGGTTTTACCCTTAAAAAGAGCTTGATTAAATACATAAAATTGCATGTTCATTTCTGATTCTCATTCACTCGAAAAAGTGTCACTAGGTCAATGCTCAGTTATAAATACAACAAAGACACAAATCTATAAATGCATGACCAAATCTGACATTCAAGCGCCAAAAAACCTAATGACAGAAAAGAATTTGCCCATACAAGAAAGTTTTTATTTTTTTTCCTGGGCAAACAAGAAAGTTGGAATTTTAAAAATAAAACCAAAGAGTGAAAAAGCCCAACTAGAAACTATCATGGAAATAAGAACATACAAAAAAGCAACAGAATCACTTGAATGCTTACCAGTTTCTGTTTCAGCCGCAATAACATTCCCCTCTATAGAGAATCTTAATATCCGAACAGCCTCAACTCTGTCGCTCCAACTATTCCACATGGTGCCATCACTTAGACCTAAATCCTGCACTGAACCATTATTTGATCCATTCTTTTTATCCATTGACGTACTTATTTTCACAGTATCAGAATTATCATTCTTCACATGTGAAGAAACATTTGAGTATTTGGTTGTTTGATCTTCACGTAGAGTAGTACCAAGTTCACCATTAATGGCTTTATCTGACCTTGAGAGATTTCGTGGCTTCATTTTTTCTTGGCCCCGCTTTTTAAATAAGTTTATCAATGCAGGGTCCAGCTTCCCCATTATCTCAGCCTGTGCTTCTGCAATCTCTTCAGGTGACATACTCTTCAACCGCGCATGATTCTCAGCATCAATTTCACTTTCAAGAGACATGAATTCTTGTTCAATTCCAAAATTTTTTAAACTAGAACTAGAAACCATATTTGAAGTTTTACAAGTTCGCTTACTTGGCATCTCTGCTAATACAGGATCCACCTTCTTCATTTTCTCAAGTTGTACTTCAGTGACATCATTAATGGACAAGCTTTTGACAGATCCTTCTTCACTTTTGAAGACACTAGAGTTGGCATCTCTAATTTTCTCCTGAACATGTAATTGATGCGAGTTATTTATTTCCACATCAGCCACTGAAGTGAGAGACCCAACATCCATATCACTTGACATGGATTCCCCAATTTTGATTGGAGGCATAGAAGATTTGGAATCCCGCTCCCCATACATCTCCACTGGACTCTTATCAACAGGAGAGACATCACCTGATATGTTTTTCCTGCCCTGATTATCAACTGCTTCGCTATCTTGGCTTTGTTTTCCCGTCTTCTTCAACTGTCTCCCATTTCCTTCCAACTTATCAGTCTCCAACAGATTGTCACTTGGGATTATATCTCTCCACTGGCTAAGATCCAAGCCCCTTTTCTGCTTCCTCTGCACTGGGTTTGCAAAAGCTGATATCGGGTCAAAATCAGTTGAATCATTATCCCTATCATCCTCATCCCCATCATCTTCATTATTGTCATTAACAACATTTTTGCTACTGGTTGGACCCCAATGCTGTGAAATAGAATCAACACGTTAGTTCATAAACTTATGCTGCTAACCAAATTGTGTTCATCTAAAACAAAGCAAAAAGAAATCATTTACATTGATCATTCTACAGTTAGATGAAATGAAGATAAATTAATTAATTAACATTTGCAAGTCTATGTTCCATTATTACTTGACTTTCACCAGATGCTTGTATATCAATTACATAATTTTACTCTTTTCCAAAAAGTTCTATCAAATTACCGAAAGGCAAAATTTCACATTCATTAAACCCACGTTCTGAAATAGCTGTACATTTTCTAGCAGTCAAACAACAAAGTTACGATTTCTGAAACCAATAAAACTAATGCTAGTGCTTGAAATTTGATATTGACTTCCAATTGAAATGAATAACCCATTGATTATATGACAGTAAAAAGATAGAAAGAGAGAACATATAGTGTCTTACAGGTCCATGGGAGCGGTGCCGAGCCACTGGGAAAGGTAAAACGGTGACTTTAGGCGGCGGAACGGGAGCAACAGGCTTGTTTTGTGGGTTTTCTGAAATACCCTTTTCGATTATACTACCAATTAGACGGGAAGCATCGTCTCCACTGATTTTCAGTGCGTTGGCACCAAAAGACTTTGGTTTTGTGTCGTTTCTTTGAGAAGTAGTTTGTTTCTTCTTCTTCTCCATTTTCTTGCAATAGAAAGAAAACTGTAAGCTTGACTGTGTCGAAGAATGAAACTGAGTGAGAAAGAGAGAGGAGGGAAAGAAAGGAACCGAAAGGGTAGAGTTGTACCGGTCCAAATTACCCCTGAATTTAAGCTTAAGGGTCAATTCTACCGTCATGCTATAACTTTCCTCAATTAAACCCCGGCTTATTTTCACATGTCGTTCCTCAATTTAGAAGGTAATCATTTTATTGTTTTTTATCTTTCAATTTGTCACTTAAAATTGTTTAACTTCTATTCTTGTAACACTAAACTCCATTTAAAACTGTCTAACTTCTATTATTATAATACTAAACTCTCTTTGATCGTTTTCCAATAATGAATAAAGCTGAAAAGCTGACTTGGCTTGAATAAATAAAAAGCTTAGCCACGTAAGCTTTGACTATTGTCCTACCTTTTGATTTTTTTTTTTTTTTTTTTCTATACTACCAGATATGAACGGGGATAGCGATCAGTCTCCCACTGATTTTCTGTAGCCCTGTTGGGCACCAATCAAGACTTTTGCGTTGTGCGTGTACCGTTTCTTTGAGATAGTAGTTTGCTTCTTGCTTCCTTTCTCCGATTTTTTCTTCGCCGTAACTCAGAGGAACATACTGTAAGCCTTGTACCTGTGTCGGCACACACTCACTCCTCAGATGAGAAACAACGATAGAGAGGAGGAAAAGAAAAGGTAAACCGCGTGACAAAAGGGGCATACTTAGCAGTCGTAGCTCGGGCTTCCAAAGTTACCCCCTGAATTTAAGCTTAATGGGTCAATTCTACCGTCATGGCTATCAACCTTTTTCCTCAACTCATTCAAACCCCCGGACTCTTACTTTTCACATGTCGTTCCTCTATATTAGAAGGCTTCCACTCAATTTATTGTTTCTTTATCTTTCAATTTCTCGTCACCTTAACAAAATTTGTTGTAACTTCATATCTTTGTAACACTAAACTCCAATTTAAAAAACTGCATCTGAACCTTCTCGTAATTATCGCTATAATTACCTACAACCATCTTACTTTGAATCGTCTTTCCTCAATAATGAATAAGCTGAAAGCTGACTTGGCTGAATAAATATAAAAAGCTTAGCCACGTAAGCTTCTTGAACTATCTGTGCCTACCTTTTGGATCTTTTTTTTTTTTTTTTGTCAACTAACCTACATGCAGATTCACCCAAAGAATGGCTTCATCACTGGTGAACAGGAACGTATTAATAACGGCTTTTGTGCCAGTGAGGGGAAGAACAAAACCCCCAATACATCCCGTAGCAACAGACTGCAGAATCATTAGAACATTAGAGGATCCAAGAGGAGATCGAGCGTTTGATTTATCCAAAATGCACTAGCACTAACCTGCATATACCTCTCTGGCTAACTCCTATTCGTAGCATATAAAACCCACCTGGACCAACGCAGATCACCTCTGGCCAGTACCTAAAAAAGCTTGCTCACCACACCAATACTAAACACCCCACCAGCATCAACGCATTTTACCAACCCGATCCCCAATTCCCTTCATATAAAAAAACCACGTTTCCCAATAATTGGAGCGAACCAATAAGACTACCCATTAAAATAGGACGGAGACTCATCAGGTTTATTCTAACGCAAGCATAACCCGATACCATGTGCCAGGAAAAAAAACAAAAAAACAGATAATTCACCACAAACTAACAAAAGAACTCACCACACGATATTTTCTACAGACGATGGTGGTTACTATTGCCGCATCGCAATGAGTTAAAAAGTACAGGTCTTATGGATAACCAATAATCAAACAGACCAGTGCTCTGCTCCTCAAGGTCCTGGACGTGTTCAGAGGAAGACAAAGGTTAACTGTTACTTGATCTACTGCTGGGCCAGTGCCTCTTCTCGGCGTAGCCACAGTTTATGAAGTATCGACATCTAAAGGGCTGTAAATCAAAAATGCGACAAAAAGAACTGCGACTGGACAGAGGATTTGGCATTTTGTAAGTCATCCAACCATGCAGAACTACGACTAGAGCAGTGAGTAGGAGACACGGAACAGAGGCACCTCCACGTGATGCAAGTTAATTTTTTTTTTTTTTTTTGTCAACTAATACATGGGTCACCAAAGAATGCTTCATCACTGGTGAACAGAAGGTTATTAATAACGGTTTTGCAGGAGGAAGAAAAAACCCCAATACATCAGCAACAGACTGAGAATCATTAGAAATTAGAGGTCAAAGAGAGATCGAGCGTGATTTTATCCAATGCACTAGCACTAACCTGCATATACCTCTCTGGCAACTCCTAGTAGCCTAATAAACCCACCTTGGACCAACGCATCTGCCATACCAAAACTTGCTACCACACCAATACTAACATCAAAGCCATCATACAACCCGATCCAATCCTTCATATAAAACCACGTCCAATAATTGGAGCAACCAATAAAGACACCATTAAAAGGGACGAGACCCACATTTATTCTAACGCAAGCATAAGATACATGTGCCAGAAAAACAAAAAAAGATAATCACCAACAAACAACAAAGAACCACCAACATTTTAGCAATGGTGAATATGCGATCAATGAGTAAAATAGGTTTATGAAAAATAATCAACGACAGTGCTTGCCTCAGGTCTGGAGTGTTCAGAGAGAGGACAAAAGGTAACTAGGGCAGTGGGTAAGCACAGTTTTGAAGATGAATTAAAGGTGAAAAAAATGGACAAAAAGAATGGAGGTAAGAGGGATTTTGATTTTGTAGTCATCAATTTGCAGAGATAGAGAGTGAGTAGGAGAGAGAGGAGAGTGATGGCAAGTTGGATAGGACTGTGATGGTGGTTAGGTGAGATAAAGATGGAGAGAGATATGAGATAAGGAGAAGAGGGAGAGGAGAGAGAAAGTAAAAGAAAATTTAAGAGAGATATTATGCTGATAAGGGTTATCTATTTTTTTTTTTTTACTCATTCTAGGTGCCACATCATTTGTATTTCATCGAAAAATGATCAAAGGGAGTTTTGTATTATAAAAATTTAAGTTGAGACAATTTTAAGTGACAAATTGAAGATGGGAGACGATAAAGTGATTACCCCCTAAATTGAGACACATGTTTAAAGTTTGTTTGGCAAAATTAACTGTTTTGGTAACTGTTATTAATGAATAAATGGTTGAGGATGATGATTCTGATTCTTCAAAATTAGAAGAAGGCAACTTTGATTCAAATTCGAATGAACAGATCGATGAGACTTGTCCAACAATCCATCTGCCTAAAACTGAGAAATAAAGATTGCAAAGGTCTTGGCTATGCGCTTATAGTCAACCTTTTAGGTAGAATAATGGGCTATAATTATTTGACAAAGAGAATTAAAGAATTATGGCAGTCAAAATCCTCTATTGACATTATTGCTTTGGAAAATAAGTATTACTTAGTTAAATTTAATATTCTAATGATTATGATCTAGTTTTATTTGGAGGAACTTGGATGATAGCTGATCATTACCTTTTCGTTCATTGCTGGTATGGGAATTTTGACCCTATTACTGCCTCGTCGGCATGGTTAACCGTTTTGATTCGTTTTCCTTGCCTCCTTACCGAGTGCTATGACATCAATTTTTAATGAGAGTTACAGCAAAACTTGGTACTCTGATTAGGATTGATACATATAGTAGCCCGGTTAATCGTGGCCGTTATGCTAGAATGTGTGTGGAAATTGATCTCACTAAGCCCCTTATTTTTAGATTTCATCTACATAATAAGATATGTACAGTGAAGTATGAGGGAATTCATCTTGTGTGTTTTCAATATGGTAAGTATGGCCATATCACAAAATAATTGCTCGAATTCCCACAGGAGGAGGTGGTGGCCTCGACGGCTAAAGTCAATGTTGTGTCAACTGGTGTTGTTGAAAATCCTAAACTCAACCAAATTCATAAAAATATGATTATTAATCTGACAATTGTGGAAATCTATGGAGTTTCGATATTGGTAAAGAAGGGTAGGTCGAGGAACAATCGCCAAAACTATAAGAAGCATAATCAGAGTGAAATTCATAATGGGCATCGAGATAGGTTGGATAAGGTAGGAAATAATGTTAGAAATAATGGGTCTCGTTTTGTGATTCTTCCAAAAAATCTACTAATTTGAAAGGGAATGAGGCAAATGAGATTAATTTTAATTTTAATGGGCCTCCAGTAAGGGTCGATCTATGCATATTTGACCAAATGTGATAAGGCTAGTTCATGTTAATAAAGTTTGAATTCTAAGAATAACATTCAACAAAGATCTCAGCGTATTCTAGTTTCCATGTGTGGTAAGGTTCCTATTAGTGCAAATACACAAGTTATATCACCTGCAATAATTCCTCTTGAATCATCTTTTTATTCTCAACAGACAGCTGCTGAGGTTGAGTATATGGTTATTTTAGGGGGCAAATAATGTTGAGGGGATTCGAATAGTGGTTTCTACAATGGAGAGGGTTATGAAGGATCCAAATTCGGATAATAACATTGAAATGCAGTAGGAGAATTTTAGTGATATAAATATACCCCATCAGCAGCCTCGAATATAGGAGATGTGGATTTCTTCTTTTATGGAGGATGATTGATGCTGTGCTAGATACTCTTTTGATGGATATCTCATTCAAAGACATTAAAGGATAGTTTGTTAGTGGATGTTCGAAATTCTTCTACTATAGAGGAAGGAGTTAATTGAGCTTTTTGCTCATTGTTTTCTTATGGCCTCTCGTTATAGGGTTCTCTCTATTTGATTTTATTAGTATGGAATTGCCAATGGGCTATTTTTTCAAATTTTCATTGAGCTTTCTTTGAGTATAACCATTTATTTGGACTTGAGATTTTTTACTTATTGTAGCCTAAAACTAGCGACTCACAAGCTAATTAGGGTCTGCTCTTGTCTTGGTTATGACCATTGGATTCTAGTAGAGGCCTTCAATTGGGTTGCTTAGATCCAAAAATATTTTTAATATCCAGCTACTAAAAACCTACACTCAATTCATTGTGTTGTCTTGTATAGTTTGTTTGTATTTTGTTAGCCTTATGTTAAGTGTAAAGGGTAGAATAGAAATTTACATATATTCCCTAGATATGAATAGAATTGTAACTATT